AAGTTTGATTTACTCTGTGCAACTCCATATTGATGGCTAACGAACAATGCCGCCTATCCACAAACGACGATTTTGCAGAACAAAGAGAAAACTTTGTCATTTTTGTAAGTTTAAGGTTCGATTTGCAATTTTTTCATACATGACAGCGTCATTGAAGTGCTCTCCTACAGAACTGGAAAAAATTTAAAATCATCAGCTTGCATATTTTATACTGTAGAATGCGGCAAAGTTGCCCAATCATTTTTGCCAAAATTGTCGGTTAGGCAGTTAGCCTCATGTAGGTAAATTTTTTTTTTTTTTTTTTTTTTTTTTTTTTTTTTTTTTTTTTTTTTTTTTTTTGAACATCAAGCAAGACAAAACTAATCAAAGCTAAATAGAAAGGGGGAGGAAGTTTTCCTCTTTTTTTTTTTTTTTTGTAAAGGGGTCAAAAAGCTAATCTGTGACTTCTTCTCAAACATTGTCAGTGAAGTATAATTATTTGACTATTTCTAGGTTTTCTGGAATGCTGGCTGCCAAATGGTGTCCTTGAATTTTCAAACTCCAGATCTGCCTATGCAATTAAATCAAGGAAAGTTCGAATACAATGGAAATTGTGGCTACCTTTTGAAACCAGATTTTATGCGTCGATCAGACCGAAGTTTTGATCCATTTGCCGAGTCTCCTGTTGATGGTGTTATCGCTGCCCAATGTGCAGTTCAAGTAAGTGAAACCTTGAGAGGCTTCAATTTTCTGCTGGATTAAAGTAATAAAATCATTACCACACAATATAAAAAATTCAATAGCAGTAAATAATGAGACATCCATACTGTTGTCCACCAGTTCAAGTGATGATGAAAAATTATATGGTGTGCCTGGCAGCTTTTATTTGAGTTCACACCAAATAAATGTACGCACTTTTAAAGTGCGACAGAAGATCGTCTTATGCCAGTTTAGCATGGAAAATAAATGCAAGAATCAAGATGGCAAATCTACTACCGCAGTCTAAAAATGCACAAATTTATTTGGCATGGACTCGATGCATGGAGCTATAATACTGGATAAAACAGATATTTCAATTTTCAATGCATTATTAACACCTCTGTCACAATCTTTAAAATATTCTTTCATATGAAGATTGATTTGCGGAATTCATTGAATTTTTTTTTAAAAAAATGTTTTCAATATTTTTGTTTTTGAAACTTTTGATTCGCACTTGTTTACGAGTTTTGTTTATAATGATTCTATTCTGCTCAATAGGTGATTGCTGGTCAATTCTTATCTGACAAAAAAGTAGGAACATATGTTGAAGTTGACATGTACGGTTTACCCACTGACACGATTCGGAAGGAATTTCGGACGAGGGTGTGCCCTAGCAATGGCTTAAATCCAGTTTATAATGAAGAACCATTTTTATTCCGAAAGGTGAGCACATATCTCTATTCTTACTTTGCAACAAATATTGCCCGTATGTCAAATTCATCCCATCAGCTTTTTTTTATTAAAGTTGATGTATTACCAGTCTGAATGATTTTAGAACATACCCAGTAAGGATTTTTATCCTCAATTTCATTCGTAGCCTCTTGTGCCAATCTATTTGCAACACAAAATGCCTTAATGAATGTTTTAAAATGGACTTTTTCTTTTTAGGTTGTCTTACCTGATCTAGCAGTATTGAGATTTGGTGTCTATGATGAAAACGGTAAACTTTTGGGCCAAAGAATCCTTCCTCTTGATGGTTTACAAGCTGGATATAGGCATATCTCCCTTCGAACGGAGGCTAATTTTCCTCTGTCCTTGCCTATGCTCTTCTGTAATATTGAGCTGAAAATCTATGTTCCTGATGGTTTTGAAGGTACAATTTTTAATTTCAATTGCGTTTTTCTGCTTTGAAAGTTTTCCTGATTTTTCTTTGAATAACTGAATAAAGCAGCAAAGCATTAGTAAACTGCAGCAAAGACTCAACTATGATCCTGAAAAATAGAATCAAAAGGTTAGAAAAATATAGGATAGAGGAATATTGTAAAAAAATAGTAAAACTAGAAGAAAATCCTTTAGAAAATTATGTTGTCACTATTAGTATTATAACAACTACTGCTGTGATAAGAAAGAAAGTAGAATAGTTAGTCTGAACCTCTGTCAGCATGTGCTCTTATTTTTTCCCCTTTTGAATTCATCCTCGTAAGAAATTACAAGCATTTATAGATAGAAATATAATACTCACAAAAACTAGGGCTGTCCACTATCATAAGTATAGGTCCAATGAATAAAACTGTACTTTTAACCTAAAGGTGCACTGAGACAGCCTGTTGGACTGCACGGCAGGCTTCATAAGCTTAGTGCTATCAGCGCTAGCTGCTGGTGGCAATTTGGGGGAACAATGGGCCTGTTGCAAACTTTTGCTAGAGCAAAAATAAGAGTTGTTTCTTGTAG